AATCTAAAATATATGAAAGTTTAATGTTTATCAGTACATTACAGAAGATAATGAACTTTATCACAATATGCTAATTTTTTGAGAAGGACCTGTATAATAACCCTGGACAGTGGCTCTCAGGGACAAGGACTGAACACCCTGGTTTAGATGGATGCGTCACTCTTCAGATCATTTATCATCTTCATTCAAAATATGAACTATTCTCAAACAAGCAAACCTTATCTTTAATATCTCTTCTACCTATTACAGTATCTGTAGTCGGGTTGTAGAGTTAGCTCCTCCAGGAGAGAAACGCAGACACCCCCCTGCAAAATCCCTCTCCAGGTCAGAGCAAGTAGGGGTCTCTGCAATACATTGTTCTGTGGGTGGAGTTTACCCTAACTGTGATTGGTCCTATTGACTTGTCTTGTGGGACAACTTAAGCAGAAGTAAAGGTAATAGTAAAATACTGATTTACTGTCTATGTACAGTTTATAACAGAGCATTGGGCCTCATGCAAGAACATTTTTCTATTTTTATCCTAAATTACTCTTACTTTTGTTCGTATGAAGCTCGAACGAACGTCACATCAGATTCAGCAAACTCTTCTATCTTCAGGAAAAGTGTGTAAATGAGCAGCGAAAACACGATGAATGCCACCTGTACTATTCAGGTGCTCATGCACAAGAAGAGATTAGCTTGATTACTGCCCAATAATGCCATATAAGGCTACACTTCCTGCCCCACATACCAGTAAGTGTTTGGTCATGAAAATGGCAGCGAAAAGTAAAAAGAACTTCACGAGTTCAGAGATCAAAGTCCTGCTCTCAGAGATCCAGAAAAGAAAAAAAAACCTGTCGTGTTTATCTTTGAAGCTTTTGCTCTCTTATCTACAACATTTTCACATGTTAAAGATTATCGCCTCMTGTTCTTTTGAATACTACAACAACATGGTGTCAAGTATAAACGCCTACACCAGTGGTTCCCAACACTGGTCCTCAAGGACCCTATCCATCATGTTTTACTTGTTTCCCTGCTCTTCAGCAGGTCTTCAGAAGATTGTTAATCACTCATACATTCAAACCAGGTGTGTCAAATCAGGGAAAAAAAATCACTGCATTAAATGTTGACCAACACCTCAAGAGCTTCTCTGAGCTTGATGAGACATTTTCAAAATATAATATTGACT